CATAAATGCCTAAACTGGCTATTAGCGTGACCTCCAATTTTAAATAGGGAGGTTACAGGTTGAACGTAGTTCCCTCATCAGTCACTTAATGCTTGGAAATTCGCTTGTATCTATTTTTTCAAGTCTTTTTGTGCTGGATGAGAACTTCAGTTAAGTGACTTCATTATTTTCTGGAGGCGGAACTTCTGTGCAGGCTTAAAAGACCACTGCTGGCAACAACAATAAGCTAGTGTCAAAACAGCTTTCAGATACAGAGCATGCTCAAAGACAAACGTCTGAAATAAGGCCCCGACATTTGAGTAAATTACTGTGGCTTACCAAGGTACTACCTACCATAGGTCCAATAACAGCCGACTGCATACGCGCTTGGAGCCTGTGGCTAACAGAAAGCACTTGGGCCTCCCTTCCTGGAATTTGAGCCCTCAGCTGGATCAACTAAACTTGAAAGGTTCATCATTTCACCTGTTCAGAAAATCTGAGTCAAGGATTCTTACCAGTATTCCCACTGAATTTCATTTACTAGTTTTAAATTCACACCCATGATTCAACCAATTCAAACTAAAAGCAATTATGGAAAAATTTCAAGTACTTGATTCTATACAGGAACAATATCACAAGAGCAAGTGACAAGCTAGGAAGTTATCACAGAATGTTAAATGATATCCCTCTTTTATGCTATCGAAGAGGGAATTACTTCATCTAAATTATAATGAAACATGTAGGACTTGGAAATAAATGACCATTTAGGTGGCTTTGTGTTAAAATGCAAGAAAAATACAATTTGCTTAACAAATTACATTTAAAATTGAGCTTTATCATCATTCCCATTAAACAGAATTTTCAGGCAAGACTCATAGAATTAAAATCTTTAATAAAAATGGATCAAGTCTTGCAATTTTCCTTCAGTACAAGGAAGACATTTTTGAAATACAGTTTTCTGACTGAGGCAGAAACTCTACTGCTTGTGTGGGCATACATTTATACAGGTTACTAAAAGGTGTGATTTTTTTTTGTATTTAAGGGCCCTGCATATAACACAGATACTAAATGGGGACAATCTCTTCTCTCCCTCCCACCTTATTCTTACATCTGTATCAAGAGAAGCATGATAAACATTACGTGATTTTTCCCTTGTGCCTTGTTTTTGCACTAATCAGGAGATCAGCTCCTAGCACATTAGCAGAGCACTCCAGCTCTGCCTTCTGTATCTGTAACACTCTCCAGATAAACACTGGCAGTGTCCAACTCCAGAAAAGAGGTTTTTGCTTTAAACAGGGACAGGGAACTCACTGTATACAGATGATCCAGTGTGCAAGTTACATAGCTTCTACAGTTCATTGTTGCCCTGAGCAGCCTTACCAGTAAGCCTGCTGGACTTGGGAGCTTTCAGGCTGCACCAGAAAGGGTGCGTCACCAGCGAGCCCTGAGGGCAGCTCTGCAGACCACACAGCAACCACAGCTGCACAGCAAAACCTCAGGTTTGAGCGCAGCAGTAACTGTGCTGTTGCCACTTTCCCTTTTGCTTCTCAGTCTCTAACCTTCCCAGGGATTCACACTCTCCTAGGGATTCCCCAGCACAAAGGCAAACGAAAGACGCTTTCTGGGGTTTTGGACAAATTCAACAGATGTTTTAATACACATCTCATTTTTCTGGAACCCTACTGCTCCTTTAAGACAAAGTGATGAATTACTGTGAATACTTTGGGGTATTCCTTAAGGGAATGGCAAAACACAGATAAGAATTTTAAAAACAGTTAGCGAGCCAAGCACAAAACTACTTATCTTGTAATAATGAGCAATTTTAATACTTCAACTGTAAAGGGAAGTTCCTGGAACAGGGTTAAACTAAAAATTCTGTTTGGCTCTGAGCCACATAAATATTTCTTTTTCACATTCCCATCAATTACAGAAGTACAGCAAGTGTTTTTGTCCTTAACTGCACTATTACTGGGGACACAAATAAGCCATTTTTCTTCTAGGGGTTTGGAGCTAAAATTTCTAAAATACTATATTACCCATTTGGCAGGCTTGAAGCATGATCCAATTTTTACTTGTGTGAGATTGGTAAGCCAAACCATTTGAATCAGCTGAAATTGGGTGGACAACTACAGCTCCTAACCAGAGTACATACCCTTATGATGGTAGCTCGAATGCTACTAAAGTGGTTTTTACTTTGCTGCTGGTATAGGTATTCACATTCGGGAGAGCAGTCATAGGAAGCTGAAAACAATTATTTTTAAACTGTTTACGTGCAAACATTTGCAGATATATATCATGAAGAAACAGTTTTTGCGGAAAAATCAGACTGTATAAAGCCACATTTACCATTTTCTGTGATTTAGACTGAAAATTTTACACTGAGACTTCATTAAGACAAGTTAATAACGCAGCTAAAAAGAAAAAGCTAATCACAGGCATGAATATATTTTGTTAGGAAGAATTTAGCATCCTAGAGTGAAATATACCACTCTCAGAATACCTCCTGAGCAAAGTCTACCAAAATGTAAAGAGACTAAAAGACGTGCAATGTACTCTCTCTCAATGCATGTCACTTGTAGGCTGCCTTTATTGCGTGTGCTTGTCTGCTCCTACACAGACATCCCAGATTACAGCATTAGGTTGAATCAAGTGAATGTTCTAGGGATAAAAATAAAATCATTTCTTTTCGGAAGCATCTAGTCCTGTGAGGGGTGTACAACACAGACACATGACTGAAGTACAAAGGGATGAACTTCTACCACACTGGCGTAAAAATAAACGTCCCATGGAATTAACCATTAACATTAACCATGACAAATTAACCACGGAAACTATATTTAATTTATCAGTGCTGAATTCTTCGAGTCACATGACTGTTCTTGAGGAAAGACCTGGGACTCTGACTGACAGCTAGATATCAACTTACTCACGTTCTGCCTAGCTTTACTAATCCTTTACACGTAGCGCATGCTAGGGGAACACGGCCTTATGAAGATGTCACTTAGATCCACAGCTAGGGATGTCGGGGAATACAGTTCCACTCTCTTCTAAGAAAACTTGTTCAACTCCAACAGCCAAGGGGCCTGACCTTGAATGTCAGACTGCTACCAGCATGGGCTCTCTAACCAGCACAAAGACGGCTGTCAGACCGCTATGGCAATTAGAAGTTGTTAAATATAAAATCACTAACATGTTGATCTAGGAAGACAGCCTCCAGCTGGTTTTGTGGATGGCCTTATGCTGGATGATGAGGAGGATCATATTTTCTTTGGTTAAATTTTATTAACTACAATAGCAGAAACTGAAGTAAATGTATCACCACTGTAGTACAGCATTCCTTTGCACTCCATCAGCAGAAAAAAACTCTACAGTGCTTTTGAGATCTGATCAGATCTATCACCTGGTAAATGCAAGGAAATATTCCCTCTCACTTCAGAAAAGGCACCAGATCAAATCCCGAATTAGGTACGAGCTTTCTTTAGCAATATTTTTAGAAAAGGAGAAATATCTGATCTGTAGATATTCTCCCTCCCTCAGCTTTTCTACAGCCTGCATCAATAACTGTTCAATGAGAAAGAAGTAAGATAGCACATTCTCATTCAGCATTCTGACCACTAGAAAAATTCTTTACTTTCAGGCCCAAGGGACTGCAATTTTCTTTCCCTTGAACTCATTAAAAAAGAAAACAGCTCATAAAACATTGCTGAAGTCATCTTCATGGTTCAATACTGCAATCACAGTGAATTTTTTTTCAGCTTTTCCAGTGTCTCGTTCACCTTTACATTAGATGCAGGCTGTATCAAGGAAAAACCTTAGCCAATCCCTATGACCTTGATCTAGAATTTTAGTAACTAACCTTAGTCAGCCAGTGTTTCCACCCTTTACTACATCTCATTCTCCCTTAAAACACCTTTAGATTTCTCACTCTCTTTTCCTTACTCATGTAAAAAACTCTCACTTATATAATCCACACATCTATTATCTTGTATTTCTTCAGATCCTGCCATGGTCTCATGTCTATCCATGGTTAAATCAAGTCGACCGATTAACAAAGAAGTGAAACTTCTGGCTTTCCCACTCCTTGTATTTCCTCCTTTTAGATGCCTGATTTTTTTTGAAATGAACACAGAGTCTAACACCAAAAAAACCCACCTGATCAGCAAAGCTGTTTCAGTTCTTCACAACATAAACTCACTTCTGTCAGTCTTCACATCCTTGACTCTCTTCTGATCTATCACTTACCTGATTTGTTCTCCTGGCTTTGAAACCTCTGAGGCAAGGATTATCATCTGTGCTCATATTACAGTTAAATAACAAAAACTTAAAATAGATTAAAACTTAAAACAGATTAAAACTGTCAAATACTACTGCAGTATACTGCTCATTATACCATCAATTCTCCTAGATTTTATCGGCAATACTGGCTTACTAGAGGTATTTACAGACCATATTCTATCATTGTCATTCATGAGAAAATACAACTATCAGCCAAAAACCCTGCTGCATACCAAACAGAAAAAAGATTTACTCCATCTAACAAAGGATGGTAGAGTTCAGTCTTCTTTCGCAAAGAAGTGGACAGCTGAGCCTAAGGCAATACTCTCTGTCAAATGCTAGGGAGAGACAACACTCAGAAGTCACTTTCAAAGTGATTTTTAACAAAGTCTGTCTCCTACTCTAGAAGGCTGGGCTACATTATTTACAATATAACCATTGTTTGAGTGCTGAAAGCACAGATTTATTTAAGGCCACATGAGGTACTTCTGATAAGCTATTCTCCTTCCATTGCATGCCTAAAATTCAAGCAGCACGGAAACTCTAATTTCCATTATGACATTGCACAGAGAAAGTGGATGCTTCCCTTTTTGACCCCTCTTTTTGAAACAGCAAGAGTAGGATAATGGCAGACAGAAGGACTGCTGTGTATTAGGCTTTGCAAGAGCAGATACTATGGGTTCGCAGTGGCACAGTGTCTTAAGTCTCCAGTTACAGAGAGCATATGAAAAAGTGTATAGACTTACCAAAAAATCTCTGATTAATTTTTGTACTTCCTTGTGACCATGCTTTCCAGCAATACCTGCTGGATCATCTCCATCTTTGTTGGTTATGTTGCAAGCCTGTATGGCCTTGGGACATCTGAGCAGAAGAGCAGCAAGGTTCTTTAAGCCAAATTTGGCTGCACAGTGAAGGAGAGTGGGAAGTTCTTCCAAATGGCTATCTGTACATGGAAACAAACAGTTTTGCTTTTATAAAACACCTGCCGCCTTCTTCTACAGAATTCCTTTGCATATTAGTGTTATTGAATTGTAGTTAAACTGGCACCCACAGAACAATTCTTCTAAGAGTTTTACAATTCCCATACTTACACATTTTAATAAAGAAGCCTTTAATATAACTGAAGTCTCACTTTTTTTCTCCCCCCAGCAGAGGGATTTCAAAGTATTTCAGTTCTATTGGGAAATAAAATGTTTCCTCCAAAGGGAAGAAAAGTCTGCAGCCTAGGCACGCTTTTGCATAGGTGTATATTATGTAACGCTTTAGATATATTTTTAACCTGGGACATGTGACTAGGACATTTTGGAAGTTTACGGAGCTATGTTTTCGTATTACAAGACATTTTTTGAGAATTTGCAACTACTGGGAACCTGCAATTTTTGCTTAGCACCTTAATGAAAATTCAGACTATTTAAAGATGGATGTTTCAGTTAAAGATTTTTAGGATTTCTGTGCAAAAGCATGATTATTTGTTTGCACTACAGACTATTTTTCACCTTGGAGAATAGAGACAAAGCTAAACTGAAGTCAGCTTATCATTTCAGCCCTTAGACCTGTCTCCTGACTCCAACGGTAGCCACAAGATGCCTACAGAAGAATAAGAGATCAAGCATAAGCAATACCTCTATCTGCTCCCATACTCTGACCACCTTCTCATCGCTTGTCATTTGTTGGGTTGTGATCTGTCTATACATCAGCATGCAGTGCATCTCTCTTCCAAGTATGTGTCTAGTCTGCCCCACAGCACTGTTAACTTCTTGTATCTTCCAGGTCTTTTGGCAGTGTTTTTACTTCCCACTTGGTGAAGAACTGCTTCCTATAGTTTCTTTTGAACCTGGCTCCTACCAGGTTCAGTTGATAGTCCCTAGTTGATACTACACTACATCCCCTATCTGCCTTCTCCCCCTTGCTAGTGACTTCTGTTATACTCCCAAGGCTTCATTCCCAGAATTTTTTCTTTTCTTTTCTGGATTGAAGAGCATCAGCGTACTTAATTGTGCCTTGTAGAGAATCTACTCCATCACCCTCATTGCTCTTTTCTAAGCTTTTCCCAGTTCTAATACATCTATTTTGAGATGACGGGAGCAGAACTGCACATGATAGTCAACTTGTGGGTGAAACATGTAATTTATGCATCATCATGATTATGTCCTCTGTTTTGTTCTTTATTTCTTTAATAATCCCTAGTATCTCATTTGCTTTTTGATCTGCTGCCTAGCAACAAGTTGACGTTACCATGGAACTGCGTGGTCTTACTCCTGAGTGCTAACAACTGCCCAAAGTGTCTCATTTTGTATGACAGCATAGTATTGCTTTTCCCACTTGCCTCACTTCATTTTTACCTACGCTGAATATCATGTCATTTTATTGCACAGTCGCTAAATCTCCTAAGACTCTTCTCCAATTCTTCCCAATCAGCCCTTACCACCCTGAATACTTTGCATCATTATTATAACTTTTCTCCAACTGTCTGCCTCCTGTTTTTTAGCCAATTATTCATCCATGCCCAATCAATTCCCAACTTGATCAGGTTTGCAGAGCCTTACAAGGAACTCCAAGAAATCTATAAAGCTAGACTTTCCTTTAAATAAATTTTCCTTTATTATAGTTTCTACCCATTTGTCTGGTACAGATGAAGCATTAACCTTCTGTAGTTCTCAAGGACCCAAGAGAAACTGGGTTTTGGCATCACATTTACACCTTCAGGTACTACAGAGCTGAACGCACTGCTGTTAGTAATTCAGCTCTTTTATTCTTAAATTCCCTCAGAACTCTTCAATGAATTGCATTTCGTCTTGGTGATATCTTAGTGTTCATTCTGTCCATTTTTGCTGTAAGTTTATGATTTCTTCAATTCCAGACAGTCCCTTGCCACATGTCTCCCAACCAGGACTACAGCATGGGAACGTACAGTTTCTTCTACAGCAATCACTTACACAAAGAATTTGTTCAGTTTTCCCTGAGCAAACACTGATGCAAAGAATTCATTTAGTTTCTCTGCATTTAATCTTTTAGCTTTCTCAAGTTCTCCTTCATATCCTATTTATCAGTTGGCCCTATGGACTATCGAGCAGGTTTTCAGTCCTTCCTACACCACAGGAAAGATTTAGTAATAGTTACGATTCCTTTAGGCAGCTGCTACTCCAAGCCCCATGATCCGCCTGATTATATTTTTTGCATTTACTTTGCCTGGATTCATGCACCACCACCCCCCCCTTCATTTCCATAGAGCTTCAGCTTTTGAGTAATGCTTTCTTAATTCTAATAAATTTACACCACTGTTTAGCCAGGCCAGCTTCCTTTTATCCTTTCTAAATCTCAAAAGATGCACTGCTGCTGTGCTTTTAATATGGCATCCTTCAGGCTACTTGAAAAAATTCAATTTTCTTAGCTAACCCTTGAGCTTGTCTTTAATAAGCTTCCTCATTTTTATATATTTCCATATACTGAAATTTGACACAGGAGTGGTGAATTCGGGTACACTTTTTTTCTTTTGCTTCTGTAGAATGTTAATATGGAAGAAGAGTAAAACCTCACCCCAACCATTAGATATAAGGATTCAAGGAACAAGGATAATTCTTGCAATAGGCACAACTAACCAGCTACTGATTAAGTTATTAGGACAATGTGTTTTAGTTTATATTACTTTGTATTTGCAGCATGCTTTATAATCCTTTGAGTTCTCCTATTAAGTTACTGAATTACAATGAGCAATGAGTAATAGCTGCTACAGTTCTTGAGAGAAGTAAATGCTGCACAACTTATTTACTCCATATTGCTCAGCTTTTTAATTAAATTTCCACAGACTGGACTTCATTCCATAATTAGAAGAACTACAAATGTTACTCCAGAGTATAGTCATTAGAATTCTCTGTTTTCACTCTGTTTTGCTAAACTCGGTGGGTGGGGGGAGGGGGAAAACAAACCTCGCACAACCCTAGGGAAATAACCAGCTTAAGGAGCTGTCACATTAGCAGTAAAAGTATATGCAAGTAATTAGAAGACTGGGACAACAAAATAAAGGTAAGTTTCTTTTCACATATTACACTCTTTAAAAAAAAAAAAAGTCCAAAACCCCAGTAATATTTCAAAAAACTTCCATAAATCATCATCAAATTGCTTATCTTAATTCTTCTACCTTTTGCAATTATCCTGTTAGCAGACTCTAAGAGGTCAATATTGTAAGTGAAAATAGCCTACACAAAGTATTACTAAAATATTCCAAAGAGAACTTCTACTCCTTGCTAATGACACCTGAAATAGTGGCTATGAATGCAAAAATGGAATCAATTCTACATTATCAGTGGGTTCAGACACATGGTATGCCCATTTCTTCATCAATATAAGGAGAAAAAAAAATCCACTGGCATTCATAAACCCGTTCTAGGCTTATATCTGAGTTTTCAAAATGACACAAAACATGGGTATCCCTTGATCTCAACTCCATTAAGCAAAATCCCTATAACATACATCTCTGTTCAGGACCAACCATAGGAGTCCAAATATCCCTTCAGATCCTTCCCACTTGAGCTGTTTTTTTCTGGTAATCACTCAACTCTTCCATAGCTAGGTTTGATATTCAAGCAGCACTGCTACTCTTGTATCCTCCAAACATTACAGGAGACTATCCTATTAACAGATGAAGCAGCTAACCCAGTCAGGAAGGATGGTTAAATCATAAACATGACTAATTTTACATGTTACTCCCTATAATAAGTAAAACAAAAAGCTGTATTTGGATATGAGAACCGCAGCAGCAACACTGATTGTGAGCTCTTTCACATAATATTTAAAAAAAAGTCACAAGTGAAATGTATTTTTAATACCATATGAACAAAACTGAAGTACTATCACCAAGAACAGGATATACTAGTTGTTTGGTTTGGTTCTTATTTGAATTTCAGAATAAGCATTCAAATAAATCTTACCTGGGTACCTTTGCAACCGTTTGGGCTGCATGAGCTCTGTTAAAAAACAAACATAAAAACCATACAGCCTCCCAACGTTGGTTCTAGTTGTGACTATAGCTGAAGGAGCCACTGAGAATGGCGCTATTGCTGCGTATCGACCTATCAGTCAGCAACTCCAAGCAGCAACGCAACAAACTACCAGCCCTTCTTTTCAGAGTGCTTTCCCATCCCAAATTTTTGGTTGCCCTAAAACACTGACATGAGGAAAAGAGGAAAAATATTTACTGATAGATTACCTGTCCCCTGTCATCATTAGATTGGCTCCAACTTTTGATGGTGTTGAATTGCTCTAATACAGAGTAAGAAACTAAACAGAAGCCAACTAGCAAACTCCATGAGCTAGTACTGCAGAGACAGTAAGCGAGTATCTCTTACCAGTGGCCCTGAAAGTTAAGTACTTCTCAAGACCAAATTTGAGATTATTTTTGCTTATTCTGTTTGACCTTGAAAGCTAAGTTACTACTGAAGGCCAAAGTTGAAATTATTTCTGCTTGTTCTTAAAAAAGTAAGATCATTTAAACAGGAGATACAAGACAAATATTACTGTGTGGTATCACTTTTCTTTCTGGAGATCTCAAAAGCAAGACCACAAGAAAAATTAGGACAAAAGAAGGCCACATTACTGAGCCAATCTTTCCAAAGATGCTAATGGCAAGTTCACACTGCAGACACTGCACAGCACACTGATATCAATAGGTATTTTAGCCTGAAGGAATGTACCAATATTGTACGCAACGTTAATCACTAAAATCACTGGAAGTGTTGCCACAAACGTCAATAGCTGAATTCACCTTAATATAAAGTATAAGTATATCCCCAAACAGGGATAGCCAAACAATAAAAATCATAATGTATTTCATTAATCTTCAGTCATGAACTTAGAGGGTGTTTAGGAAAAAAAAACCCAAACAATTAGCATTAATTTCCCATACTAAACATATCTTGCTGAAACGCAGTACTTCAAACAAGACGT